CTCTTGTTTCTACCTCTCTTGCAATAAATTTTCTTTGTTTCTTCCTTCATTTGTTTTAATTTTCTTTTTTTTTTCTCTTTCTCTCTCTTGGTTTTTCCAGACAGGGTTTCTCTGTGTGACAGCTCTGAATGTCCTGGAACTCACTTTGTAGACCAGGCTGGCCTCGAACTCACAGAGATCCGCCTGCCTCTGCCTCCCAAGTGCTGGGATTAAAGGCGTGCGCCACCACCGCCCGGCGAGTTTTCTTTCTTTTTTTTTTTAATTGGAGAGGTAACAGTGTAAGCTGGCCCTTGCTAAAGATGCTCAGGAGGAGAATGGAGTCCTTTTATCCCCAGGCTGTTGTCGGGATGCCCTGCTTCTCCTCTCTCCTTGCTCCAGAACTTCTCCCCATGCTCGCTCTGCTCTCTTCCTGATCCACGGGCGCGTGGCTTCTGGTGTCCTTTGCGACGTCCACTCCTCCCTGGACTCTGCAGTGCTCGGGCTCCTCACCTCCCTTTGCCCGTGACTAACAGACTGGTGCTTCTCCTGCCCCCCTCAGGCCTGCCTGCGGGGACTGCAGAACCCCCCCTCCCGCTCTGTGAGACCCTTCCTCGTTTGGACTAGGATGGTGACCTCGGGACTTTGTGTCAGAACCAGAATGGCCTCATTTTCTAATATCCTTAGGACACTTTCATTTTAGAAACCTTTATTGTGTTTTTTTGTTTTTTCTTTGCCTCAGTCACTGTGACTGCTAGAAAGTTCTTCATGAAGTGCCTTTTAGACTTGTTCTCTTAGAGTCACTGTTGACAGCTCCTGAATATTTTTTTCTTCCTCTTCCCTTCTCTATTCTTTTGTCACTTTCTGTCACTGCTGCTTTCTGAAGTCTCAGCAAGGGAAGGGCAAGAAGGGGGCTTTTTTTTATGTGGTGTGTGTGTGTGTGTGTGTGTGTGTGTGTATTTCTGCTCTTCTGTTACTTTTTCTCTTTTTATGGCCTTTCTCTACCTCTCTCTCTTTCTCTCTGTCTCTCTCTTTCTCTCCCTCCCTCCCTTCCTCCTCTTCCTTTTCTTTTTCAAGTCTATGGAATTTCCCACAAAGCTTCTGTCTCTGTGGGGTCTCCAGCAACTTTAAGAATTCAATTTCAGACCCTTCTTTTGCCATCACTTCCTGTGACAGATCATTTGCCGTCAATCCCCCCCCTGCCCCCACCCCCCACTCCCGGCACATTTCATTTTGGTGCAAGCCCAGTTTCTCATCTCTGATATTAGCCCCAAGGTGTGCATTGATGGCCCGGAAACCTCAGTAGGAATTTCGTGGATTTCAGGAAGGCCGTCTCCATCTGTGCTGACTTAACCCTGCCTGTGGCGTTTAATACACCTTACATTTTGAACCTGGACATGGAAGGGCTGACCTCTGATGCTCCTGTCTTCTTCCACATATTTTTTTCTCTGAGATCTTTTCGGCCACTCACACTGTGCTCTCTGTCTCAGCTTCGGTTTCTTCTTTCTCTTTGTGTCCTTCGATTGCTGGTGGGGCCGCGTACATGACACTCAGGCCGTGCATATGCTGGTTTCCCACAAGCTGTCTGGCGTCCCATGACCCTTGGCGTCCCATGACTCTTGTTCTTCTTGTTCCTTTTCGTCATGTGATGCCTTCTGTTCAGCCGTCCTTACCCTCTTTTTAAAATTTTATTTATTTTAATTTTTTGCATATTGGTGTTTTGCCTACCTGTATATTTGTGTGAGGGTGCCAGAACACCTGGAACTGGAGTTACAGACAGTTGTGAGCAGCCGTGTGGGTGCTGGGAATGGAACCCGGGTCCTTTGGATGGAGGAACAGCCAGTGCTCTTAGCTCTGAGCCACCTCTCCAGCCCCCCTTCTTCTTTTTTTTTTTTTAAGATTTATTTTATCCCTACCTTCTTGATGTTGGATTTGGACACAGGATGAAAGTCCTTTTTGCACATGAAATGGGTAAATGATTTCCCCATTTTGGAATCCGAGGCAGGGAAGCTGGCCTGTAGTCTGTGAGGGATGTAAATAAACTCAGGGCACCATGAGCTGATTTTCAGATGTGAAATGCTTCAAATGATGAACATCCTGGGTCAACCCTACTTGAATATAGTACATTCGAAACACTTTAGAAACATTTTAAATTTATTCAATTGTGGGTGTATGTGCGTGTGTGTCCAAGCAGATGTCATGGCACACGCATGTGCAGGTCAGAGGACAGTTTGTGGGACATGCTGTAAAGGGAAGCTTTTTCCTTGAGAGAAGCCTTCCCGCCAGCCTGGTTCTAGTGCCGCATCAGTCCCAAATAAACACACAGGAGGCTATATTAATTATGAAGCTGTTGGCCTTGCTTGTTTCTTACTGGCTAGCTCTGACTTAAGTAATTACCCCATACTTGTTAATCTAAGTATTTCTCTTACCAGAGAACAGTTCCGGGCTTCCTACCCCATGGCGTTACATCTTGACTCTCTGTGTTTTCTCCTTCCCAGAGTTCTCCTGGACTCCTAGTCCCACCTATCTTGGTTCCCTATTGGCCCAACAGTGCTTTATTGACATATACATAGGACTTCCCCAACAACATGCTTACCCTTACCCTCTGAACTCTCATAGATCCAAGTTGCTAATATTTAGCTGAGGGGTTTTTCTTGCCTGCCCCCCACCAGCCACACCAGGTTATTTAATCATCACTGTTCATAAGAGATACCGATCTGTAGTTCTCTTTTCTCTGGTGCTTTCATCTGGTTTTGGTATTAGTGTGATGCTGGTCTTGCAGAATGAGTGAGGACGTGTTCCTCCTCCTGACTGAGACTGGAGAAGAGCAGCATTTTCTCATCCCCTAAGTGTTTGGGAGAACTTCTAAGCACCCATCTCTCTGGGCTCGCTACTTTGTTTTGGAATGTTGTTATTAGTTAGTTACTATGTATACTGGCTTACTCTCAAGAGCCTTGTTTCTTCCCATAAGGTGTGAGTTTTGGCATATTGTATCTTTCAAGGAACTGATCCTGTCCCCCTCCCCCTCCCCAGTTATCCCGCTTAGACTCCACTTACCCACACGGAAGCTTGATGATCTAAGTCCCTGGGTCCCCAATTCCTTCTCCACCCCTTTTCGCTTCTCTTGCTACGTTTTCATCTAAAGATTTCTCATCACCAATCATCATGGATTCCCTCCTGTTACATCTAATCATAATTCATTTGTCTCTAGCATTGCACTTTTTTTTGCAGTTTTGTTTTTAAAGAAGATTGATCATTTCAAATTTCTGTTTATTAGTGGGGTGTGCACGTGCCACAGTGTGGGTGTGGGGGTCACAGGCTAACTTTGGGGCATCGGACCTCTCCTCCCGTGTATTTGTTTCTTTCTTTCTGTGTACTCTGGGTAAACCTGACCCCACACACTTCAAGGCGAATCTCCGTCCCCATCTCTCATCCCACTGTAGGAGTGCCGAGATGACAGGTGTGTGCCGCTGTGTCTGCCTTTTGTTTACCTGGATCCTGGTAACTAAACTCAGGTCACCAGGCTTGGAAAGTAAGGGCTTTTACCCACGGAGACCTTCCCCCAGCCCACCGATAACTTCCTTGAAATTCTGTTCAGCGTGTCCGCTTGCCAAAAAATCATTCCCAATGGCTGTACAATCCTGGCTCCTGTAATGTCCTTGTTGGATGGTTCTAACACCACTACTAGGTCTGCTTCTATTGTGTGCTTGTAAGGGGAGCATTTATGTGTTTCCCAGTTGTCATGGAATAGTGACTCGTGCTTAACAGGCTGATGGTGTCTGCTTACAGAGGATGTAACCGGTTCATCCCCTGGAGAGCTGAGCATTGGACCACTGCTGCCCCGTGCTGACGTGGGACCTGGAGCTCGGGGGCGGGATGGGTGCAGTGGGGGGGACTCTGTGCCGAGTTCCCCACTTCCGACACAGTGTTCAGGATTTCCTCCTGTAGATGCAGACCTTCCTCTGTCCCCTCCCTTCTGCTTCCAGGGCAGGCCCCTTGTTAACCTGATACAGGACTGAGGGAAAGCTGGGGGGGGTTGTTATGACCTGCAACTAGGCTTGCCCAAAATGACAAGGGGCTTTTCAGCCCTTTAGCTTCAGGTTCAGTGTAGACTAGAGGTTGTGTGGGGGAGGGGGAGGGATGTTTCAGACCCTCTTGCCCCTGGGAGTCAATAGCATACGAGGCCTCTTTTTCAGCCTCTGCACTGAGCATGAGGGGCACTGGTAAGAGAGAAGAGATGGCCCATGGAAAGTCACTGATACGTACGTACATACAAATTACAGTATCCGAACTGGGCAGGTTGCATTTACACGAACACATATATTTACATGCCACAACCACCGAAGGGAAAAAAAGGGTATGACTTTGAAAGAGGTGGGGTAACCTGGGAGGAATTGGGAGGAGGAAAGGGAAGGGAAAAAATGATTTAACTATAATCTTTTTTATAAGCCATTGGCATTTCTTGGTTAAAACTCTACTACTACCCTACAAGGTGACCTTGCTGAGTGTGGCTATGACCCTGTGTCCTGCTGCATCCCAGAACACCCCCCCCCCGGCTCTAAACCCCACAGTCTCAGCCTCTCCTTCAGTTGCTCACATTATCTCCATCTGGAGAGCATTTCCCCCCTTGTTCTGTGTTTTCCTGCAATAAAATGCAATGCCATACCTAAAGTAGGGAGGGCAGCCCCCCTTCTGTCAGGCTGGAGAGCCTTCCTTCAGTTCAGCACCTGGGTGTCTGGTCTCCAAGTTCCTGCGGATGTCACATAGAAGTTGGCCAGAGGAGTCTCCCTCCAAACCTGTGGAAGGGGGCGGCCTCCCTTCTTCCCAGGCCCTGTTCTAGACTAACACCTCTGTACTGAGATTCCTACCCTGGGTTCTAGCTCCCCAGGGCAGTGCCCGTGACGTGTAACTATCAGGTCCTTTGTGGTGTGTCAGCATGGCCACCAAGGCCCCAGACCGCTGCTCCTGCACATGCTGTGGAGTTTAGAGTCTTAAAGCCATGTTTTTTTTCCTTCCTGTTCTAGGAAGAGGGCATCGTCTTCCCACTCCTGCCCGTGGACACGAAGGACTGAGCGGGAATCATGTGGCCGGCCCTTAGAGGCTGGGGGAGAGCATGCATGGGTCCGCGTGGAGCCCTGGCCTGGGCTGTGCTAGGCCAGCCATGGCCCCGCTGTTGCCACGCTGTGACCAGGGCCACCTCCGTGAGCCAGGACGAGTACAGCTTTGTAGTGGTGGGTGCGGGCTCTGCTGGCTGTGTGCTCGCCAGCCGGCTCACCGAGGACCCGAATTACCGGGTGCTGCTGCTGGAGGCAGGGCCCAAGGACTTGTTGATGGGGAGCAAGAGGCTCCAGTGGAAGATCCACATGCCCGCCGCCCTAGTGGCCAACCTGTGTGACGACAAGTACAACTGGTGCTACTACACGGAGCCGCAGCACGGCCTGGATGGCCGTGCGTTGTATTGGCCACGAGGCCGGGTCTGGGGCGGCTCCTCGTCCCTCAACGCCATGGTCTACATCCGTGGGCACGCCGAGGACTATAACCGTTGGCACCGCGAAGGTGCTGAGGGTTGGGACTATGCACACTGCCTGCCCTACTTCCGCAAGGCACAGAAGCATGAGCTGGGAGCCAACAGGTACCGCGGCGGTGAGGGCCCGCTGCATGTGTCTCGGGGCAAAACCAACCACCCCCTCCACAAGGCCTTCCTGCAGGCAGCACATCAGGCGGGCTACCCCTTTACCGAAGACATGAATGGTTTCCAACAGGAGGGTTTCGGCTGGATGGACATGACTATCCACCAAGGTGCCCATTTTTAATTATCCCCCCCTTCTAAATCATAGTCATTAATACTCCCCCTGCCCCTATCATGGTCCCTAAGGGCCAAACTAAGGCTGGTAATAAGTGAGAGGTGTCACGGGACACAGCCTAACTACTTGGGCATTCGCTGAGCCTCTAGGCCATATGGTATGGCAGATTCTCCAGTGCCCAGCCGGATGGGATAGCCAAGCCTTATAGCCATAGATCCAGGAAGCTTGAGAGGGGCAGGGATTTCAGTCCTGTGGTGTCTATGGCCAGGATGAACTGCCCTGGCTGGGGCAGGAGTGAACCAGTAGCTCTGTGTGACGAATAACCCGTGGTCTTATAGAGACTTAGGAGCAAGTTGAGGCAGAAAGAGTTGCCACAAGACTCTTGCCTTAGCTGTCACCCCTTTTATGGCTGGGTGCAAACAGACACAGCGTGGGTAAGTGCGGGGAGCCTTGATTGAAACAGGACAGGGCAGGCCCTCAGGGCTCTCAGTCGCCTGGACTGCAGATACCCGGTGGGTTATCGAGGCCACGAACGTACCTTGGAGGCAAGCCTCACACAGTCAAGGGCAGGATAGGGCTGCTCTCTCCAGGAACTGAGGGGAAGGGCAGCAGGCCACACATGCTCTTGCCCCCATCCTGCAGGGAAGCGCTGGAGCACCGCCTGTGCCTACCTGCACCCGGCACTGAGCCGCCCCAACCTCAGGGCTGAGGTCCAGACCCTCGTGAGCCGAGTGCTGTTTGACGGCACGCGTGCGGTGGGTGTGGAGTACGTCAAGAATGGTCAGAGCCACAAGGTGAGCTGAGTCCTGGGGGGGGGAGCTTAGAGGGGCAGGCAGGGGTCTGGCGGTCAGGCTGTCCTCCCCAGCCACACGCTCCTGTCCCTTTGATGAGTTAACGGCGGCCAGGAGTGGTGGCAGGACTGCCCCTGGGGTCTCGCAGGACATAGAGGTCAAAAGCCCCCCGACCCCGGCCCCTGCAGACCCCACGGTACCCTGATATGAATGCCTCCGTGAGTCTCCGCCGGCCACATCCACTCTGGAGAAGCCCCCTAGTAACCTCCTCCGTGGTTTCAGGGGCCTGGCCTGACAGAAGCCATTAGACTGATCGTAGAAGTTTTAAAAAAGAAACCCACAAGTGTACTATATGTGCACGGTGCTTTTCTGCATCCAGCAATGTGTGTGTGTGTGGGGGGGGGGATGCCCTCTGCCCCCACCCCGCCCTCCCAGGAGCGGTGGCTGCTTGTGCACTTGCTTCAAGTCCCCCTAGTGTCTGCTTTCATTGATGTCCTTGGAGCTCTGCCGTTCTTCTTAAGGCCCCTGTGAATGTTACAGCTGTTCCCGAAAGCCACACACACACACACACACACACACACACACACACACACACACACACACACACGGTGACTCGATGTGCAGATTGCTTTTAAGCAGCTGCTCCCTCCTCTTTAAGATCCGACTCTCTACGTGGTATAGTTTCCTAAGGTCACGGTTACTGTGGTAACCTCTGGAACTGGGTGTTCCCCCCCATCCCCCTGCTCCCTTGCCCCCCCCCAAGGCAGCAGTAGATCAGCTGGCTTTCCAAGGAGAAGCGTGACTGGTGGGCGTCCTGCCTCTTCCAGGTCTATGCCAGCAAGGAGGTGATCCTGAGCGGCGGAGCCATCAATTCTCCACAGCTGCTCATGCTCTCCGGGGTTGGGAATGCAGACGACCTCAAGGAGCTGGGCATCCCCGTGGTGTGCCACCTGCCTGGTGAGCCCCCTGTGACTGCTGCCCAGAGGTGGGCTCTAGCCCAGCATGCTTACTGCTTGGAGTGGGGAGGTGTCACATCCCCACTCCAAGGGGCCTCTGGGCCTCACTGGACCAACTCCTATTACCAGACCCCGAGCCTCTCAGCTGTCTGTGGTGTCCTCCAGGGTTTTGCTGCCTTGTTTTTTCCTCATCCTCCAGTATATACACAAGGGGCTGGTCTTCCGTGGGGGAGCTTTCCTTGAGAGGCTCGTGGAAGGGGTGTAGGCCTTGACTCCACCCAGAGTGCCCTTGAGCTTGAATGAGCCTAAGTGGCGTGTGCTATAGCAGACGTGGGGGACTGCCTTCCTCCTCCGACGGACTGGGGCAGAGGGTGGGGCTGACCGCTGTCCATCTGGCCTACGAGCACACCAAGCACGCCGCGACACCGACCCCCCAGGCCCCGTCCTCGGAGGGCACTGCTGACAAGGGCTGGTCAAGGCACCCGAGTGGCCGCTGTAGGGGGAGTGGCGGGGCAGGTGACTTCAGCAGCAGTTGAGAGGGGGCCAGATTTGTCTAGGAGAAGCACAGGTAGTGTGACGCGGGCGGGACAGGAGAGATGCTCCCAAAGCCGGGGTTTGTCCCGCGTTCGCCACTCTCCCTAAGCTCTCCCTCCCGTGCCAGGAGTTGGGCAGAACCTGCAAGACCACTTGGAGATCTACATTCAGCAGGCCTGCACGCGTCCCATCACCCTCCACTCAGCCCAGTGGCCTCTGCGGAAGTTCTGCATCGGTCTGGAGTGGCTCTGGAGGTTCACAGGTGGGCCTGCCTCCCCGTGAGCTTGGTGGCATTCACAACAGGTGGGCCTGCCTCCCCGTGAGCTTGGTGGCATTCACAACAGGTGGGCCTGCCTCCCTGTGTGTTTGGTGGCATTCACAACAGGTGGGCCTGCCTCCCTGTGGGCTTGGTGGCATTAACAACAGGTGGGCCTGCCTCCCCGTGAGCTTGGTGGCATTCACAGCAGGTGGGCCTGCCTCCCTGTGGGCTTGGTAGCTATGGTCTGTGGGCATCATGGTTTTCTCCCCGAAGTGCCGAGATGGGCCTCAGGTTGCTGGGAATGAAACTGGATGGCAGCCACCAGGGCCCGCTTTCCCATCTGCAAGGCGAGGACAGGAAGATCCTGCCTGGCAGGCTGCTGTAGGAGACAAGCAGCAGTAGCAGGACTCAGCCCTGAGCAGGGTGTGGGAGGGGCTCACACAGCAGGTGGCCTCTGCAGGCCCGAAAGCCCCCTCACTTGGCTCGTGTAGCTGGCGTTTCAAGTTGTAATGCTGGGTAGGGCCACCAGGAGAAAGAAACACCGTGATGGACAGACCTTGATGCCAAGCCCCAAGCCCGGGAAGAGGGACGCTGGGAACAGCTGGTCCCCCTGCCCTGCCCTGACGGGCTCTTCTGCCTTGTCCTCGCCTGACCTTCAGGGGACGGAGCCACGGCCCACCTTGAAACGGGTGGGTTCATCCGCAGCCGGCCTGGGGTCCCCCACCCGGACATCCAGTTCCACTTCCTGCCATCCCAAGTGCTTGACCATGGGCGGAAACCCACCCAGCAGGATGCTTACCAGGTATGCAGACGGCCTTCCCCAGCTCCTGCACGGGAATAGATTCCATGGCGTTGTCTGCCCCACTGTGCAGACCTTACCTTCACTTGGTACTCCGCTCCCCAGTGGAAAGAGGAAAGGGGTCCCAAACCTTACCCCAGGGGGAGAGCCCAGGAGTCGAGTCTGCGGGACGTACAGAGGGCAGGGTCTATACCAATGGAGTCGAGTCTGCGGGATGTACAGAGGGCAGGGTCTGTACCAATGTCAACAGGCAAAACAACCTCAGCCCCGGGATCATAAAGTTTCAGGCAAAGGAGTAAAAGCCAGAGAGGGAACAGGGTGGTTGGAAGAGGGTCAGGTACTAAACCCTGTGCGCTCTACACCGAATGCTGAGTCGCTCCCCCCAGGGAACCTGGGCTTCTCTGAGCTTCTGAGCGGTAGTTAATGGAGATGACTGCTAACTGTTTCCTCTGGGCCCTCCTAGGTACACGTGGGAACCATGAGGGGCACAAGTGTGGGTTGGCTCAAACTGAGAAGTGCCAACCCGAAGGACCACCCTGTGATTCAGCCCAACTACTTGTCAACAGGTAACTCAAGCGACCTTTGTGTCGCCTGGGCCTGGCATTGAGCGAAGGAATCTTCATAGGGTTCCCGTTTGTCCCAGGTCCTTACTCTGGATCCTACTCCCTAACCACCGGGGTTACTCTCAGGTCTGGCTCACACAAGGTAGCTCGAGGCCTCACTTTGCACGGCAGGCCAGAGGGGCAGCTTTCAGAGTCGTCTGCAGGAGATACAGACGCAGGGCCCATGCACACCCCCTGCCTGGCCTTCCCCGCAGCATTAAGAGTGTGCTGTATTTCCAGGGCTGCCTGTTTGCACACAGCAGCATGAATACTCATAACTCATGTGGAGGGCTTCACACAACATGTAGCGTGGGGGTTTGACAGCCACATGGTTGACAGAGATGCCAGACCCCAGACACAGACGTGAACCTTTAGGCACTGTTAACGGCTTCTGGGCAGGTGATGAGCACTCGCAACTTAGTTGTCTGCATCCCTGATCTTTGCCCTTCAATCCCACTTGGCCAGCAGGGTAAAAGAAGGGGAGCTCACTTATCTCTCCTCCACAGAAACTGATGTCCAGGATTTCCGTCAGTGTGTCAGGCTGACGAGAGAAATTTTTGCACAAGAAGCCTTGGCTCCTTTCCGGGGCGAAGAGCTGCAGCCTGGAAGCCATGTCCAGTCAGATGAAGAGATAGATGCCTTTGTACGGGCGAAAGCAGAGAGTGCTTACCACCCCTCCTGCACCTGTAAGATGGGCCAGCCCTCTGACCCCACTGCCGTGGTGGACCTGCAAACCAGGGTCCTTGGGGTAGAAAACCTCAGAGTCGTTGACGCCTCTATCATGCCCAGTGTGGTCAGTGGCAACCTGAACGCTCCCACAATAATGATTGCAGAGAAAGCAGCTGACATTATTAAGGGGTACCCTGCACTCTGGGACAAGGATGTTCCCATCTACAAGCCACAGACTCTGGCCACTCAGCGTTGAGACAGCCACCGCCTGAGGACGACAGAGGAACACAACAGACCCAACGCGTACAGCCCTGCCCCGGATAGTTCCTCAAACTGTGTAGACTCTTGGGACCCAGGAATCCCGATTCGTGGCTAAGACCTCCATGGCAGTGAGTGAGGCAGGCCCCCTTTTCCCCAGTGTCTCAGAGGACCCTTGGAGACACGAGCATCCAAGCTGGGGCCCTGCTCCTGACCTCCTGGGATTAAAGGTCAGGGAGGTCAGCTCTTGCGTGATTTTCTGGCAAGCCCTCCAGTCACCTCCAGCCCACTGTTCTGTTGCCAGGAGCAGAATGATGCTTTCTCCGGCTTCCCACCTAAGGCCACTCCTGCAGAGGCAGGGCACTTAGCTGGACTGGGCTCTCCAAAGAAGCTTCAGCCGAGGCCAAGAGCCAGGAAGACGCTCAGCTGGTACCTGAGCTCATGCCCGCGGTTAGGGGGAAGGCAGCCAGCTGGGGGACTCCTGCCTTGATCCAGATCTGAAGAGTGACGTGCAGGGTTGAGGGCTCAGGTGACCACCCAACCCACCTGCCTCGTCCTGAGCGCTCACACAGGAAAGTGAAGACCAAAAGCATTTGGGGTTAGTTTTTCTAAGATGTCCAAAGCCACCACCCATAGTGGGGAAGAAAAGGGGGATCACCATACGGAAACTGCATTGGGAGGCCAAGAATAGAGGGGCACGATCAGAATCCCAGGCTCCACTAGGATTGACTGGGAGTGGCCGGAGCTGCCATCTGGACTGTTTTTTGTTTTAATTCCAGATAGCTGCATCTGAGAAAGGCCTTTCAGAAGGGTTAAAGTAAACCATTGCATTTCTTTCTAAAACGAGGCTGCTTTTGTTTCATCTTACCTGGGCGTTCCTTCCCAACCCCCCCACCCCGTTCCAAAAGGTCAAAAAAGAAAAATCCCAGGTCTGCCAGGAGATTCTCATGGAGCAGGGCGCGCAACAGTCATTTGTAGTAGCATCCTTAGCAGCGTAGGTGTGGTATAGCAGTGTTTTAGGACGAGAGATTAGCTCCGGCATGCTCCTCCGTTACACCCAGGCCTTTCTCTCACTTTGGCAAAGCAAGGCAGCTTCCACGTGCTGACGTGACCTAGCCACATAAAGGAAATGTGTTTCTGGAGACAAAGTGCGAAGGCTGGGTGCCCCCAACTCAAAGACGTCATGTGTGAAATTGCTGCTGCTGGGGGTCCAAACTCGGGACAGCAGGAGGTGCGGAGGGTCCCTCGATGAAGTCCTTGCCGAAGGCCTAACAGGGCTGCTCCCGGTCCCAGCCCAAGTAGGAGAGACGGGCACACAGGGGCCGTGTGGAGGAAACTTGTACCTATCTTCGCTGTTGGCCAAGTGTGCCCCTGACCAGGGAAGAGAGGGATTGGGGGGGGATGGGAGGACGTACCTGCACGCAGCAGGAGGCGCGGAGGCATGGTGACATACAAGCCTTTCTGCCTCCAGCTCCAGTGCAAGGTCACTTTCCATACATTCAAATAGGCTCCTCTCACCCACCGCAATGCGTCCCGGAGGCCCCGAGCCTTTTCATATTTCCACTGATAAACCACCATGATATCGAATCTAATGCAATGTTTTTTTTTTTATCTTCGAAATTAGAGGCGGGGGGGGGACATGCTCTGCCCTCAGGCCCTAGTTGGTGGCCTGAGCTGCCTGTTCTTCAGCCCTCCCCCATCTTTGTTCTGACATCAGGAGCCAAAAGGGGTTCTGAGACTCTCCCCAGTTCCCCACTGCCCTCCCAGTCCCCAGGAAGCAGAGCGGGAGTGTGTGTGTGTATGTGTATGTGTGTGTGCACGCGCGCGTATGTGTGTATGTAAACCAACACTCCACCCTCAAAACAAAGGCAGAGGGGATAACGATGGTAAAAAGCACACACCGCACGGCCAGGTTGGTGGCGCACGCCTTTAATCCCAGCACTCGGGAGGCAGAGGCAAGCAGATCTCTGTGAGTTCGAGGCCAGCCTGGTCTACAGAGCGAGTTCCAGCACCGCTTCCAAAACAATACAGAGGAATCCTGTCTCAAAAAAACAAAAACAAAAAGACCCGGCATGAAATGAAGCCGGTCTTGCCGAAGAGCTGGGCTCCTGAGAAGTGGGTGCGCCCTTGCTACAGCCTCCTCAAGTAGCTGGGGCCACGCCCTCCACAGGAAACGCCCCTCTGGAGCGGTACAGAGCGGGGTGGGGGGTCGACACTCCAAATAAATGACCTCTCTGTCGGTTAGCAGATCACAGTGGTGTCCATACTTCCCCGTGGTTGGTTAAGAAAGCATGCGTTTAAACTAAATGCCGTGGTCCAAAGAACTCGAAAATCATTTGGGGGTGGGGTAGGGGAACCAAAAAGCAGAAGCGTTTAGCCTCAAGTCGTCTTTAAAGGGTGAGGGGAAAGAAACATGCTCTACAACTTCACGTTTTTCTTACAAAGAGAGATTTAATGTTAGAGGTTGAACCAGACTTAAAGTAGACGCACTGGGGAGCAGCGGGGAGCGGCCTGGAGAGGAGCCAGGCGGCACTGACGGGCCGGGAAAGGTGATCGCCCGCCCCCGGACACGAAGGCCTGGTGTGGCGAGTGTGATCTGATGTTAGGTGGCACAGTCAGACAGACAGACACCCAGCAAGACAGAGTCCAAGGTGAATGCTGATGGTGGTTTTAGCCCTTTGGGAGAAGCAACCCTCTCTGCGGCTGGTGCGAAGTGACTATTGGCCTTGGAGGAGCCCGAGAAAAAGCTGCCTGAGCCCAGGGCTGCGTGAGAGCACCTGCCCCTCTGAAGCTCTCGCCCGCCCGCAGCAGAGCCAGCTCTGTGAGGAGAGCTCCCGGTACAGCGAAATTATTACACAGTTCGTTCTGGAGAACATTTTGCATTTTAATTAAAAAAGGCTTTACGTCAGGAAATAGTCATTTACAAACCTTGAAGTGTTTTTTTTTTTGCCTGCATCTGGAGTAAGAATGTCCTAGGAAGAGGTTTGTGAGGTCTTTGTAGCAAAAGTGTTATTTACAAAAAAAAAGTGTTCCCCCCCACCACAGGTTGTCTGTGTGCTAGTTAAAAATTTCGAACCCAGATTCGCTACCTGTATTTTCGACTGCAGATAATCCTTAGCAAAATAATGGGGCGGTGCCAAACGTGACTGTCGGCAGAATGGGAAACCTTGGCCGCTCCAACGCTGGCTGTCCCTGGGCATACAGTCCGTGCATGTCTTCTCATGAAAACTCCAGCCCTTGTTCAGTTGCATATAACAGCTCTCACAGAGAACACGCCCCCCCACACAGCAGCTGTGAAAGGCAACAGGACACCAGCACAGACCCCAACATGCCCAGGTTGCCGCCACAGGGCTCCCCTCTTCTCCCCGCGCCGGTGCCTCCTCTTAAGCATCCTTGGGGATAGGAGCAGATGCCTGCAAGTTCACCTGTGCGGTAACTTCAGCATCAGGGACCAGAAGCATCCCGCACCGGCAGCCGAGGAAGCCAGACCCACCAGCGGGTACCCCTGGGCAGAGTAGCCAGCTGAACCTGCTGTATGACTGGCCGAGCAGGGGATTACTGGAGTGGAACCAGACCAAAGACAGTTGCAACCCACGTAGAGAGGAGGTACAATATAAAAATCGTAGGACCCAAAGAAAAGACTGCAAATAGCATCTCGATGTCTTATGTAAAGATAGGTTTATAGTGACTCAAAATATTTTAGAAAAATTTCTTAAGTGTCAAGTTCTTCTGAACTCAGAAGTTTATCCCCAAAAGACTCTTTTACTTAATACGTGAGAAGTGGCTCTAATTCTCCTAATTCTGTTTAGCCCAAGTAAAAATACTAAATATTTTCTAGATTTTTGGTGGGAAAAACTACTACAATTGTTAGGACCCATGGGATATTGCTGCAGTTCAAATACGGTACGATAATTACAAAATATAGACCATCTCTTTACAAATACAAATTGTATATTACAAGTCATGTACAGTAAATCTGTAATTTTTAAACAAACTAGCATATCTAAATTGACCTGGTTTGCAAGTGCGTTACTCTTCCAGTTTACAGCTGCCCTTAGTGTGACAGAACTGACCATCTGAGTGATGTTCTCTTATGTAAACTGGTGTCGCATAACAAAACCGCATCTGTCCGGCCCCACCCCCGCCCCGGCCTGACCACTACTCGTGGCTGGGTTCTCATGTACTGTTCAGCACAGCTGCGCAGGAACCAGGAAGCTGTGTTTTGGGGGGGAGGGGGCGTTCAGAAATGGATACGCCGCTGGGCCCGGTGTGTGCCTGATACGCTAGACTGATGGCTGAGGTAACGACACGGGTGGGTGTGGTGATTGTCATCACCTTTAACCTCTCTGTCACGTCTTCAGATACATGGGCGTGAGGCTTGAACTTCCGGGGGGGGCAGCCCTTCTGGCCTCTGTGCAGGCCAGGATGCCTTTCTCTGACCACCCACCCTTTCTCTCGAGGGGCCAGACATACTGCCTTCTGAGGCTGGGCCCGAGCGTGTGGTGTACACCACACACCTGGCCACTCGGAACCTGCTTCTACCAGGTTATGGCTTCCTTGGGGGCGCGGTACCATCACTTGCACCAAAGTCTAACAGCGTTTTCTCCCAACTAGTGCCTAAGCTTTCCTAACTATGAGGCACTTCATCCCTGGCCCTCCCAGCGCCCGCCGCGGGCTGGAGCCAGCCCGACCCTCGCTGGGCTACAAGGTGGTGATGCAGATCATCTCATCCGCCAGGTCCTCTTCCTCTCTCCCAGGGTCGGGCTCCTCATCGCTGAAGCCAGGGCCAAAGTCCTGGAGTTGGTAGTCCTGGCCGTGCGGGACGGGGCCCGTGTCCCCGTTGGCTCGAGGGCACGCGCTGCCGTTGAGCAGGGTGCTTGCGGCGCTCTCCATCTCGTCTATGGTTAGGTCGCACGCGTCGGCAATTTCATGTTTTGTGGCTGACACAAACTTCGGGTCCCTCGCGTAGCGTCCCAGGCCTTCGGATATCAGGACCTGTACGGAAAAGGGGACCCACAGCATGAGTGGGAGGGGTCCACCTCAGCTCCCATTACACGACATGCTTCGGGGACCCCCATCAGCCGGGTCCTCTCTGCTTCACACACACACAGCACCAACCGCAGATGGCCTCAGCGCTGTCAGTGTGTGGGAGAGCTGGAAAGCTCCACGTGGCTGGGCAAGAAGCAAAAGCACCGGGGACACGGGGCGGGGACTGGTAAGGCGTGGCAGGGACTGGTAAGGCGTGGCAGGGACTGGTAAGGCGTGGCGGGGACTGGTAAGGCGAGGCGGGGACTCTTTAACGGACTTGGCAGTGCCAGCTGGGTTTCACTCAGGTCTTAACTGCCACACCTGGCTGCGGGAACGCCACCCTCAGGTGGCAAGGCTGCAGGGCCCAGTGTGTCACCACTGCCCCCTCCCCATGTAAGGGGGTGGGGTGGGTTTTCTTCCGTCTATGCTCCTGCCTGCATGTAAGTCAGGGGCCTCGGATACTCACTGCTTCTACAAGGCTGTCTGCGCTCCTCTGCTTGTCACTGTTTTTGTTGCGAAAACTGCCGGGGACCGTCAGGCTGGCTGGTGTGAAAGTCCTATAGGAGATGCCCGGCTCATCTGTGTACCAGGAACTGCGGTGTAGGGACGGCAGGCTGCCATTGACCTGGTCCAGGGACTCTGAGCGGTCCACCTGGATCAGGGGAGTGTAGCATGGGGCCCAGTCCCGGTATGGAGGGGTTGCTGGGGGGGTGGCCCATGACCGGGTGGAGTGGCTTGGAGAGTACTTCTGGGCCTTGCTGGAGTCGAGGCCCGCCACAGCCATGATCTGAGGAGGGAAGCGGAGAGAGGGTCTGTCCCAGAGGTCTGGGTCTCGGCCCTAGTCTGGTCTACGACTGCTGTGCAGGGTTGCCCCTCGGAAGGCTGGAAAGAAGGTGCCATGTTGCCAGAGGAAGCTCAGGGGGCTGGCAAGGGAACTGGGGCCTCTTAGCAGAGCCACAAGACAGTCTCCGCGACTGAGCCGCCAGTTACTAACTCACACCGTTGCCTCACAAGGAGTAAGGAAGATGGAAAAGCCACAGTGCGCGAACACACTACTGATGCGCGCTCTCGGGAAATCTGAGGACTCCGCAGGGTAACCACCAGTTCTCTCTGCTCCAGTGCCTCTCATCCTGCAGTGAGGGCTCTGTCTGCCCTGAGGCACTGGACTCAGCGGCGACTCTCAAAGGTCCCCCATGGCACAGCCGTCTTGAGATGCCTACTACTACGGGCTCACACAGACATCAACTACCTGCTCGCACTGACGTCACAGTTGCAGCCAAGGAATCCAGGACATTCCAGGCCAGTGGCTGAGATAAGACCTAGGCTTGCACCTGGTGGATCACAGGCCCTTAGAGACCTCTTTGACTGAGCTGTGGCATCTGCTTATCTGGGCTCTCAAAGAGTTCATCTTTCTCCCATGATGATACAGGAAAGAAGTTAAAATTGATGCTGTGTTAAGAGCGCAGGCAAATGGGCTCAGTGGTTAAGAGCACTAACTTATCTGCCAGAGGACCTGAGTTCAATTCCCAGAACCCATGTGGTAGTTTATAACTCTCTGGAACTCCAGTTTCGGGGCTCTGATGCCTTCTAAACCTCAACGGCGGCACCAGACACGCATGTGATGAGCACACGCACACGCAGGCAAACGTTTTTTTAAGTGTTGGCAGAGGTAAGTAGAAAAATCTTCAACTGCCACCGAGTACTGATTGGGTCAGATCCTCAGGGAGATCTGGGTCTGTTAACAGGCTGCCTGGGTACAGGTGTCTGGCATCTCCCTAGATCAGTCACCCCACACACCAACTGACGAGATAGTTCAACAAACACACACACATAGACACATGTATATGCATGCATACACACACATATATATACATGTATGCATACATACATTCATATATCTATCCTTAAGCCTTTGGTGAATGAGCTTGGGGACATGGGCTGCTTCTGGCTTAGCTGCCTTCCCTTAGCCCACAGAGGAAGCTCACCCACTCTTATGAAACCAGAGGGCCCATGCACAAGAAGCTGCGTAAGTGGCCTTAATGGGGGGACCGCCCCTCTGAGGAAATTAATTAGCAGCGGCAGCTATTACCGGGGATCTGATAAGCGGACTGCACTGCCTTAATTCAGACTGCACCAGGTCTAGTATTCCATGATAGGATGCATGGAGCCCAAGGATGCCCAGTCCGCCCTTTGCTGCATGGGGGACTCCAGCAGAGTGGGCCCTGGGTGGGGCAGGGTCTACCAGCCAGACAGTGGGGGGGGGTGCGGGCCCTCTGCTCCCTTCCTCCATATGTATCCCAGGGAAGAGTGCATCCCAGGTGGGGTCCCGGCAGGGGTGAGGCCAGAGTGTGTCACCTGCTGCTGCATCAGGTGCAGGGGCAGGGCAGCGCGGTGAGGCACGGCAGGCGACGGGAGGATGTCTTCTTGGCTGCTTTGCCTGCGTAGACACTCAAAGTTGAAGGACGACCTCCGGTGGGCTGCGAATCGAAAGAAAGAACATGATTGCGTGGTGACGTGAGTCCCGTCTGGGCAGAGTGACTCAGGAGTCAGGGCCACCTCCTGAGGCGTTCGCCAAGGAGCCCAGGAAGAAGCAGGCTGTGTGTAAGGGAAATGACTACACAGTCCCCCAACCTGGGGACGATGGGGGGGACTAAATGAAAATAAAAAAAAACCCAGCTGCGGTGTATTTCTATAAGGTAGCGATGAACCTTAGCTTGTCGGTGTTTGCCTGATCCTGGGAAGCCCAGGGGAATCCGTGCCCTGGGACGCATTACATCCATTCTAGAATCTTAGGATCCCACGCTGTCCTATCCCTGCCTCCGCACACCCTCCACCTTTCTGAGGTCCCCTCTGTCTTAAAAAAAAATTCCACGGATCACCCGAAGCAGGCAAGATAACCAAATTCTTTGCTTGGAAAAACCCACCTTCTCTAGCCTGGATATGAGTAAATCTAAAAACTTTCCATGTGCTAGGAGCAATCGCAGACAGAGGCTGACTGATGAGTCTCAGCTTTCGGCTTTCTAGGACACCAGGCTTAGGGCTCTGGGGTCCTTTGGAAAGCCCAGAGGAATCCTAAGTGCCCTGTCTGTACTTTGCAGCCACCCAACTGCTCTTTCTGAGCCGTCAGGCTTTCCTGGCCCAGCCAAGTCCCGCATGCCCCCGGTTCATGTATCCCCAGGGACTGGCTCTAAGCAGCCTCCAGGACACCTTGGACTTTACCAACAGGTCTGCAATGAAGAGCGGGTCAAGCCCTTGGACAAGAATGGCCAGTGGGAAGGGAGCAGAGTCGGAGCTGCACTCGGGACAGTGGGCGTGGCTCTCAGGGCTCCCTGCTGAGCCACCTCTGCGAATGCAGAAAGCCACTCCTTGCCTGCTAACCAGAGTGACCACAGAAAAGGGGCCAGCACAACCTCCAGACCTAATACCAGGACAGCCCAGCTCTTGAGAACTGGAAGAAAAACCACCCTCCCCCACACTCAGGACGTCCCTCTAGAAATAAGCCCCAGGTCCCCTCATCCAGGGAGCTCTACAGTCTCTGTAGGACACAGCTCTTTCCTCTTTCCCACTGGCGAGGAATGCAGGCCAGTGTAGCCAGATGTTCCCCTGACCAGGTCTGCACACTGGACCCCGGAGCCAATGTCCTTTCAGATGAAGAAGGCGGCTGTCCCTGACTGCCCAGGCTGTCCTCTGTCTGCTGTGGGGCCAGGCTGAGCCTGGGAACAGGGCATTCAGGTATCCCCTAGGCTGTATGGGTGGGGGCAAGAGAAGGCCTGAAGAAGGCAGCAGGAACAGAAGGGAATGAGCCTCTGCCAGGCCTCACTGACACCTGCTTCCTCTGGTACTTATGGGGGAGGGAAAGGCTTCCTTTAGCATCGTGCGTTCGGGGATAATTAAATATTAAGCACTCATATGGAGCTGACCACACTCCCAGCAGGCTGTGACAGCTGGAGTGGGCGTGGCTAGCCATGTTCTCTCCTGAATGAACAGTCAGGTCAGGAGCTCCTACGTTTCAGCTGTTTTGGTTACTAAACAGAATCCTCACTTAAAGCTTCACTCCTCAGAAACACAAGAAATGGGAATTCTTCACCGTCGTAAAACACCCCCACTTGGCAGAATTCATCTGCCCCTCTAGGGGTTGGCAGAGACTTGGTGATAACCACAACTACAGGAGGAATGAGAGCCCCATTTGTCTCTGGGTCACGAGGGTCCTGCTCCTCCTGGGGGTCAGTCAGGGCCCTGCACCGCCCTGTGGGGAGAGGATAATCGCATACCCACAGCGATGCCAGAGAGAGGGGAGACAGTGGGAGGGCAGGAGAATCCCAGGACGGACCTAGGTGCACCTCAGATGCAGGGGTTCCCAAGACAGCCCTGGGCCGGGGAGAGCTCTAGCTCTGAATCCCTCCTTCCCGTCAGAGGCTCAAGTCTCCCCTTCTGTGGAGCGGGAGGGTTGGGCTGACTGAGTCTTGCCTCCTTCTCAAGGCGACGCCCTGTGCACAAAGGGCCTCTTCTTAGATTTGAGTGTTAAGTCTGGGGCCACACTCTGCCTCTCTCCATTCTCTGAAAGAACCAGTTACGGGGATATGGACAAGCAGGAAAGCACTGTCTGCCGGGGTACTGGCTGATCTTAAGAGTTAGCAGCATCTCCATGGTAACACAGGTCCATCACTTATCCCATGGGTGGGGTGGGGGCAGGCATGGCACCCTCTGGGAGGCATCACCCTAAACAAGAAAGCTGGCCTCACATGGTGGGGTGGGGGGCAGAAGGCGTCTCCTCGGAGATCTCCGTGAATCATAGCCAACGGGCGAGTCATCATCTTCTAGGAAACCTTGCGGGTGATGGTAGCCTCGGGGCCTCTCAAAGTCCATGGAGCTGCCCGGGTACCTGTTGTAATAGCTGTAGTTTTGCCTGGCAGTTGGCAAGAGGAAAACGGGACATGAGGTTCTGGGCAACGAGCCTTGACCCAGCCCTGGCAAACCCTGCCCTACTCCCTTTACGGTCAGCCCTGAGTAGTGGGAGCTTCCAGGGAAAGAGCAAGGACCATCCGAGGAAATCAGAGCTTGTGATGAGCCACATGCGAGCTGTTTTCACACCAATTGCAGCCCAAAGCTGACGGCACCCACACAGGCTGGCCAGCCCCACTACCCTTTGTTTATCTCCTGGAGACCCATTGTCCCAAGGACCTGGCCTCTTCGGGTACCCTGCACAGGACATGGAGCTTAGAGAACGCCATCGACACGCAGGCTCAGGAAGGCGTGAAAAGTGGGAGTGCGTGGAGGATTCCGTGGCTGGTCTCTTGTTTGAGGGGATGAAAACGCTGGCCTGTTGCTGCTGGACTGGAGCTAGCAGAGATGGCTATGAATATCTAAAAGGGGGACCTGGGAGGAACGAGCCCCAGAGTGGGATCCACAGGTCCATCTGCCTCCAAGTCATGAACATGGAAGTTGGCTGTTAGTGGGAGGTGGCGTCAGTCTGTGTCTCCCCCAACCTGATTAGACAGTGTGCAGGTCAGGGAGGATGGTGGTAGGTGATTCTGTCTTCCTACACGGGCTGCAATGTCCTATACTGCCACAGCAGGTCCAGTTCCCAGGTCCAGAGCCCTTGCTGAGGGTCTCAGAAGCCCCAGGTGAAATAAGGCAAGCTCTAATTCCTGCTTTGATGTTTGGGGGGAATCCTGGGTGTGGTCACCTGAGCACTGAGTGGGAGCAGAAAGAGCAGGGAAGGGCTGGTCTTCCCAGTTTGGCCCAGGCCGAACCCCTCACCTGCTCCAGGTGGGGGAGCTGTCATCCTCACAGCACTCCTCGCTGCTGAAATACTCCTGTTCCCCCAAGCAGTGGGGGTCTCTAAAGTAGCCGGGTGTCTCAGGGTCTTCTCGGCAAATAGTTGGGAGCTGTTCGTCTCCTGACTCAGACCTACAGTTGGGAAACATGTCTGAGAGCTTGTGGCAGCGACATCCAGATCCTCCAGTCCTCCCTCAGAGTGCCTGCTTCTTCCTAAAATCTCCTGCCTGTGACCGTGCACCTGATATCTCTGTGTGGTGTGCCTGTGGTCTCGCTATCCTGCACAGTGCTGGGGACAAGCCACTGTGCCTAGAGACTTAGACCTTTAGACACAGAAGTAATTTGAGGAAGCACACGACAGCCATTCTGTAGCAGTGGTGCATTCTGTGGTCCGTGGTCCCCAGAAAAGATACCAGGTCCCCATGCTCACTCCCACCCGCCCCAGCTCCAGCCAGTGTGACTTCAGAACCTGGGGCTGTGACCTCTGTCCTGCTGACTGAACCCTAGGCAAATGGGGCTGTGGAAGGACTTCTGGCTTTTGTGCCACCAGAAAACGTTCCTGGAAAAATGTCTCCCAGGGTTTCCACAGGCTTCCCCGCCCCCCAGGTCAGCACAGCATTTCCATGAAGCCTGCCTCATCATGGCCTCAAGCTGGGGGAGGCCAATGGGCTTAGTGACATTAACCTAGAGCTCCTCACTTGCTCACTCCCCCCTAAGCCCAGGGCTGTGGTGACACTTTGATTATGTTCTAACAAATAAAGCTTGCCTGAAGATCAGAGAAACAAAGTAGCCAGCCAATGCTCAGACCTTTACCAATGCTCACACCCAAAGGGCGATGGTGTCCTCAGCCTGCATCCTCAGGCTGCATCTGTCTCCACCAAACCTCAGACTGCACTGAGCTCCTGCCTCCTCCTGCGTTAGATTCCTCTCTAGTGTTGGGATTAGAGGTGTGGGAGCCCAAGTGCTGGGAATCACCTTTGTGTGAGCTCCGTTTCTCTTTTAGACTGGATCAATTTCATGGAGCTCAAGGTGGCCCTGAACTCACAGAGATCAGTCTGTCTCTGTCTCCTGAGTGCTGGGATTAAAGGCATGTTTGCCACCACTGCCTGGCCTCTATGGTTAACTAGTGTGGCTAGCTTTGCACTCTGATCTTCAGGCAAGCTTTATTTGTTAGCTCATAAACAAAATGTCACCACAAAGGGCCTCCTGATCTTACTAGAAGCAACAAGCTTGGAGCCCTTTCTTCTTTTGTGCCCCACAAAATGACCATACTACTCATATTTCAGCCAAGGTCAATTCAATGTATATAAGGATATCCCGGCACACACTGAGGGTTATGGGGAAGTTAATCTGAGGGAGTCTGGTGCCTGGTTTACAGGATGTCTGGGCTATGTTTCTCCTAAGCCAATATGAGAATCTAGATCCCCCAAAGCAGCAAGACCTGCCCAGCTACACAGGGGCAGAAGACGGGGGGAAGACCAGAGGGTACCAGCGCTTACATCGACAATAGCGTCTAAATACGTGGGAACTGCTCATTCATGAATGCAAGCTCTGGCATTCTGAAAAGCTATTAGGTGACTTGGCTAAAAGATGCTTTTCTTCCCCCTTGGCACTGAGCAAAAGCGGTGGGTAGCAGGGCATTTAAAACACAGAGGCAACGAGCACCTACCTAACATAAGTTTCGTAATAGCGGGTTCTATCCGGGAAAGGCATACCATGGGAGGGAGGGAGAAGAGAAGAGTTAAACGTTTCCAAAAGCATGGAAAGCACAGACACCAGCCCCCCCCCCTTCTGGAGCGGGAGTGGGCAAACTTCAGTTTGCTGGCCACGAACGGGCTGCTATCTGTTTTCACGTGGCCCTCCAGCTTGGAAGAAGATTTTACAAGGCAGAAACTGGAGTAAAGAGATCCCCGCCCTCCTTCCTAATCACACACAGCTCAAGCAACTTCAGTGTCTGTGCACACACACAGCTCCATGGGAACGCAACTGCACCGTTACGCGTAAGAGCGTTCCCTCCCGGCTTCCGCCACGCTGTGGCAAAGTTGGGTAGGTTCGCAAGTGAGGCTGAATGATCCTCAAACACTGAAATATTGTCCCTTCACAGAAGAAGTTTACCAACCTCCACACCCCCTCAGCCCAAAGCATGTTGCCATTAACTGGGGAAGGTGGATTTTGTAGTTGCTGCTGTTTTAAGGGAAGAAGCCACAAAGCGGGATGGTGGACAGGGGGTGACCCCTTCTGTAGAAGGTCCCTCACATGGACAGTGTACAGAGAGGGCCACGGGCTGAGTGGCCCTCAGGCTCAAATACAGATGTCCTCAGGGGGTTACCGTGTGCCAGAGCACAGGACAGAAGACTCGCCTTGCTCTGCAGAATGGACGTGACAAGGGCAGACACTGCATCGCCTTTTCAAGGTTACCTTTTGATACCGGACCTTCTTTGAAGCTCTCGATCTCGCTTGCAGGAGTAATGCCCATTTTCAGACACGTGCTCAAGGCTCCCAATGCTGGGCCGCTTTCCGTGGGCAGCTTTGGACATATTGGCATTATTGAGATTGGCATTTGTTGAGGTGGGGACTTGCTTCCCTATGGAATTATGGTTATGATGGTTATGACACACCGAATTTCCTGCTGGAGGAAACAGCGGTCTCTCAGTATCACTTGCAGGTGGAATTGAAGGCCTTTGGACATGCAGGGGACGGTGGGTGGTATTGGTCTGCTGAAGGGAATCTCTCCTATCACTAGTAACATGATTGACATGGTTTCCAAGCAGGGCACCATTTCTCTGCAAAATAATGGGAGACAACACCAGGTAATTCAACAAGTATTTGATGCAGGCTAGCTACGTTAGGTCATTTTTTCTTTTCTCTCTTCTCTATATGAAACACAAATTCTAGGCAAGCTCCAGAGGATCCCTGTGAAACAACCTGAGCGTGTCAGTGCCCAGGTGGACACACTTCGTGTGGCAGTTGGCCCACCTGGAACGAGGAAGGTTACCAGGTCCTGAGCTGGGGAGCAGGCGCCCTGCTGCCCCCTTGGTTATGATCTTCCAGTCGCTCCGAGATGAGGTGACTTACCCACCCAGCTGGCTTGGTGAGTAGCCCCCAAGGTGTGTGTGTGTGTGGGGGTACTTGACATTTTCTCTGAGCTCTGAGGTCCAGGGCCGGCTGGCAGATCAGAGAAGTGGGCTGGAGCAGCAGGAGAGCAGACGGCTGCTCCAGCGACCCAGGATGTTCCTGTGCTCCGCTCAGCTGGCTATGGCCAAGCCGAGACGCTGGCAGCTGGGGATGGGGGAGCGGGGGAGCTCAGGAAAGGGGATGGTCTGGCCCACAAGAGAACTGAACTAGAAAGGATCCCGGGGCAGGCTGTGCAGCCCCTCTAGACTTTGCCGCTGGTTTGCATTCTCCACGCCCCCTCTGTGGATCAGAGCCACCCCAGCCCAAGTCCTGGCCTGCTCTCTCCGTGTGGCCAGCGGGTAGCTAGCGAGGCGTGGAATAATTACTTTGAATGTGTCTTCTTCATCTGCCTTTGAGTCTTCCGGATCATCATCTTGTAAGTCGCAGGATATGGCACGTCGGATTTCTGGCCCGATGTCGTGCAGAGTCCTTAATCCCGCCTAGGTCAATGAAAAATCGGCAGAACAGGTTAGACATCAAGGGGGCCCTGGTCCAACCCTGACGGAGCAGTGGGAGGGGAAAAGCCTTCTCCAAAGGCCAATCCAAGGAACTAATGTGACCTAGAGTGTTTGGGATGTGGTCAGGTCACAATGATTTAAGTCTGTGGTCAAGTGACTTCCTCTGCAAATACCCCTCCTGCAGCATACTACCTGGCTACCAGTACCGGGCACTGTCATAGCCGAGAATGTATGACCCTGACTGATTGGACAGTCTTCAGAAAGGCTGTTTGCAGAGAACTGCATCTGGAGTCCTGGACAGGTTCTTCTTAAAAAAAAAAAGGGGGGGGGGGACGGACGGACAAGAATTGCATGGCTGCATGGAGGCTGAGTTGTCTGGGTACGGGTAAGCGAGCAGTCATTGGGGGCCACTGACTCCCTGTATAGCATGGAACAGGTGAGTGACATCATACAGTGCAGTCACCAGCACACTCAGATCACAAGGAAACATATCAACAGTCACACGGGCTTAGGTTGCTGTGCAGTGAGTAGGGTCACCGAAGCTGTCAGGGCCCCCTTAGCCATTACACAATTCATGTGGGTGGGCTGAGAACTCACCAGGTGGCGGGATCAGGGTTCTGAAAGTCACACAAACAGGTCTTGCTGTCATCTAAAGGCAGTACAAGACCCACAGGCAACAGCCCTAGGCTCCACACTTCCCCATAGACCCTCTCTGCTGGCCTTCTTCAGCCCAAGTGATCTGTTAGGACAGGCCCAGCAGGCGTCTGCACTGTCCGCAGCTGTGCTGGGGCAAACACTGTGAAGGGCACGGGGGGGGGGGGCGGGGACTTGTAGATAGGGGGCGGAGTCACTGTCTCTGAGAAATTTGAATTTCAGCATCCATTTGAAGAAGGTCAAGATACTGACTTCAGACCAGTAGGGGGTTTCATCTTTCTCCACAGTCTCTCTCTCTCTCTCTCTCTCTCTCTCTCTCTCTCTCTCTCTCTCTCTCTCTCTCGCTCTCGCTCTCTCTCTCTCTCTCTCTCTCCTCTCTCCCTCTCTCCCTCTCTCTCCCTCCCTCCCTCTCCCTCCCTCTCCCTCTCCCTCTCCCTCTCCCTCTCCCTCTCCCTCTCCCTCTCCCTCTCCCTCTCCCTCTCCCTCTCCCTCTCCCTCTCCCTCTCTCTCTCTCTCTCTCTCTCTCTCTCTCTCTCTCTCGTCTTGGGTCCTGCCTCCAGTATCCAGGCAGCAATGGCAGCCGCCTGCAATCCAGGAACCGCTACAAGCTCACAAGGCGCCCAAGGCACCATCTGGACAAGCCTCCTTCAGCATCTTGTGCTCTGCCCTGGTGGCCCTTTGCAGAAGAGAGCTGTGCAGTGCTGGGTCCCCGGGTGGACACCACTTTCCTATACCTCCTCCTCAGCACCCCACAGGAGGTGAGGAGCTACAGGGAGGACTGAGATAAAGACCAGCGTCCATGCCTCAGACACTCATGTGGTGGGTTAGACGCCAGGGAGTAAGTAAAGGGGAGGGGCGGCTGGGAAAGTGGGAGGTAGAGGGGAGGGAGGGAAGCAGGCTAAAACCCCTGTGTGAGAGTACCCAGACCCGGTCTTCTGCAGACACCAGTGCCGGCAGTGGTTAACTCAGGATGGAAAGCTATCCGGAAATTTCTCAAGCGGCCACGTCTACAGTATCATCTAGTTCATTAGATGGTTCTGCAAAAACTGAACTGGCTTGGTCCAAATCCACCTATGACTGGTCTAGTGTCTCCTTCTGCTTCATGAATTGTAGGGACAAAACTCATGCTAGGAATCAAAGCTTTATGGGTCCTGCCTAGGAGTGCTAGGCAAAGGAACCTTAGTTCCTGGGGTAGGAGACAAACACACACGTCCCTAACTAAAACTAAAAGCATAAGCATGGCACCCTGAACTTCTTATGCACCAAAAAATCATGGTAATGAAGTTTTCTAGTATGTATATCAGTGGAGAGGAAGGAAAAGACAGGTATATCCCAGCGTCCCAGAGAAGTGCAGGGTGCAGCCATGAAAGCTGCTTCCTATCCTGCTGCCCTTGGATCCTAGGCACTAATGCACACATGCTTTTGAGAGTACCCGCACATGTACACATGCTCGAATACGTGCGCGCACACACACAGGTACACATGCACACACACACAGGCACGCGCGCGCACACACATACGCATTCATACGTGCGCGCTCCCTCTCTCACGATTCCTATGTCCAGTCCATTTTCTAGGTCTGCGGCAGACCCACCTCTACTCCTCAGAAATACCATGACGGTAACTCCAGTGTGTGTGTTGGTAGATGGTCTTACCCAGCACAGGTGCAGACATGTGAAGAAAGGCCATGCCCCTTCATTCAGTGTTCTAGGGTGTGGTTACCAAGAGACAATAAAGTTGGCGAAAGTCCCCTTGTCTGACTTTGGGAGAAAGGTCTGTTACATATTTGAGGTTCAAACAAGACAAGGCTTGAAACACCTGCTGCTGTGTCCACAAAATAAACATGGTTTATAGTCACTGTGATCAGCACTCCCAGGTAAACTGTATAAATCCATGCATTTCTTTTTTCAAGGCACAGGGGCCAGGAACAGTCCCCCAGCTTAAACGAAGAGTCTCAGTGTCATTTAACTGACTGGACTAGATGTGATTAAAAGAAATAGAAAACTATTTATTTGGATAATTTTTTAACATCATCCTCTGTTGATGAGTTGACATTTCACTGAAATACACATGGAACAGTTGCATAATGAAAACAGAAACTGTCTCCAGCACATCTTCAGAGTTACACAAGATTAGGGGTTCAGTTGACAAGAATGGGCAGTAAAAACAGACACAGAACAGAGGGTTTGTTTGCAACATAAATCATGGAGAGGGTTGAGAGGTGGCTTGGGGTACCACTTCCCAAAACAAATAACGACAACATATTTATTAAAGAGACACCAAGGGAGGAGAGAAGGCATCGCTCTTCCCACATGTGAAAGCGGAGAAGGGTTTGGAAATCGTGATCCTAGTTTGCAAAGCACAGCAGGTAAGAGTGGGGGGCTTGCTCCGCGTAGGACCTGGGGGCAGGGGACCAACACAGAGGCTCTTAACTAGAACTGAAATGAAGCTTAAGCACAGCACCCTGAATTCATTACATATCACAAAACATGAGAATGGAAGTTGTCCTAGCTAAAAGGTAGCTTAGGCTGTTCCAAAATCCCATAAGCACAGAACCCAGCCCCAGAAAGTACAGACAACTGCTTACACCCTCAGAGAAAGGACTTAGCTGTTCACAACACTAAAATTCTTTTCCTGGAAAAAAAAACCACTTTACAATCAGTAAAATTTTCTAGTCTTTCATATTTTCTATAAGCATGTATCTCTATCAGCAAAAATATTGTTTTAATTTGAAATGTGGTCATTAGCACTTAAACCCATACAAAGCCATATAAAGTCATTCCATTTACATCACAGAAGGGTTATGATTTTTGAATAAACACAGAGTTGCTATAAAATATAAACATTACTGGCTTGTTTTAAGATGTCCAATCTTACAAAATATTAAACAGGATCAAGCCTAGTTTCTGGTTGACTTTAAAATGCTAGCAGTTACCATAAATATTTGTTTAAAAAAGAAATGTTGGCGCTTCGCCTGTAGACTGTTCCTTTAAGTTTTTAGACACCATTTAATTGGAATTTTATAGATATTTACTTTACTTAATGATGGATTCACCAAAAGTAAATTCTCTCCAAACATTTCTGAAGCAACAGCATGAGACAATGCCCCGTTGTGGATTAGGAGTGCCCACCGGTAAACCCATCCCTTACTCACTCAGGGTGGACTGCCGTCTGCCTGGATGTATGTGGAAGCTCTTGCAGCCTGCTTCCCCAGACTAGCTCCCTATGACACGCGATCCATCAGCCAGCTTTCAGCCCCACAGCACGCACACAGGAGACACCCAGAGACCCATGTCAGACCTACGCTGTAGCAGTGGAGGAGAGAGAGGCGAGCCTCCAGGCGGCCTCTGGAGAGACCCTCCATCTTCACGGTGCGGACTTCGGGCTCCTGCCAGGGAACGCTACCCTGGCACTGTCTGCCCCTCCACCCAGACACGCCTCATTTGGCCAAAAGCAGACTCTATGAAGTCACCTCGCCATAGACAAGTTCTGGTTGATTTTGGGGTGGGGACAGGATTTGGCCCATGCTCAGTTACAGAGGACAGCTTTAGCCTAGCTCTTTTAGGAGACGGGGCTGCAGGTTAAATTCTGATAGAATGAACATGCTTATCTACACACAGGCTGCCCTGCGCCTCCTCTGCACACAGGGGCACACCCCTTATTTTACCATTGCTTTCCTCCGGGGGAAAGGCCATGGTGCGGCCTTTGTATCCATTGTATACAGCTCTTCTGTTAGATAAAAGGGTTGGAATCATGGGCACGACACCCCATCACTCATCTGCAGAGAGCCCTCCTCTCCTTCAATAGTCTGAGGTAACGTCAGACCACAAGTCGCCGAGGGGTGGCCCTGGGCTGTAAAAGTGATGTGTGCCACCACACCCTGAGAGCTAAGTGTGTGTGTGTGTGTGTGTAGATTTAAAAACTTAAGTAGCCCATGACTCCGTCAGCAAAGGACCCGGACACCCATCTATCACAGCTCCACCTTGTTATTTCTGGGTACTGAACCAGGGCCTCACAAATGCTAACAGGCAAGTACCACTGAGCCAGGCTCCCAACCCTCCTCACCTCAATTCTCTGTCTAAGTTATCAGAATCTAAGACTTTTTTTTTTGCATGCTTCCTAAAAATGCAGGTAGCATTTTATAAAATATAGGCTCCTCCAACAGAACCATACCCCCTGCCGTTGCAAGCCTACACGCTGAGGACAAGCCAAGATCATGTACAGTCGGTTAAATGACACCCTGGGGCCTAGTGAAAGGCCCAGCAAGGGTTCTTGAACCCTAGCTTTGTTCTTCCCAGGATGCAAAGTCAACCAGTCTGCAAGGAGAG